GCTTTTTTAAAATCACATCTGCTTAGCTAAAATAATTTTACTTTAATATTGCTTGAGTCATTGTTATCCTCTCCTTTTCACTAATTATAGACCAAGAGAGCTTGACGACAGTATCCCTTATAATTTTACTATTTATCATAATATGCTTGTATTTTAGTTTGTCTGGTAATCATGATAACACATGAATCATTTAATTAACTCCTTTAAATATATTTGTTAAGCAATGCAGGAAAGATTTAATTAGTCAAGTATTACAGAATTTTTTGAAAGTTTGTCTTTAGAATGTTGAATATCTTTCTGAGAAACTATTATTTTCTAAATGAATTAATTTTATACTAGATTCCTACTGTATTGCTAGTTTTAAACTTTATAAAAGGAAATCATAGATCATTTATAAATGAATTTTTTGCTATTTTAAAATGGTATTTGTTTTATGTTTAATTTCACAGGATAATTTTGGTAGACACACTTTAGAAATTTTTTTTTTCCCCAAAGTGAGAGCTTCTATCACTTCCATTGTAGTAGTATTTATCATCTTTTCTCTATATTTATTCATCTTTTCTCTATATTCTAATCCTATAGAAATTGTGCACATGAAAGTGGTTAAAATAGACAGTAAGGGCTGGGGATGTGGCTCAAGCTGTAGTGCGCTCACCTGGCATGCACAGGGCGCTGTGTTCGATCCTCAGCACCACATAAAAATAAAATAAAGATGTTGTGTCCACCAAAAAAATAAAAATTAAAAATTCTCTCTCAAAAAAAAATAGAAGTGTACAGGTACTAATTTAAAGAAATATCCTGGACTAATAGCTCTTTTTTTTTTGGTACTAGGGATTGAACTCAAGGGTACTGGACCACTGAGCCACATCCCCAACCCTATTTTGTATTTTATTTAGATACAGGGTCTGACTGAGTTACATAGCACCTTGCCATTGCTGAGGCTGGCTTTTGATTCTCCTGTCTCAGCAGGAGACAGTCCCACTGGGATTACAGGCATGCTTTCCTGCGCCTGTAACATTTTAATTCATAATCAGAAATGAGTTTAAGAAAGAGCAATATCCAGGCCCACTTCACCTTAGACTTAATAAATCAGACAATCTCCAGGAAATATATACATGCTGGAAAAGCTCCACAAGTGATATATACCAAACACTGGGAACTATTATCCTAAACATTTCTTGGTTTTCTACCTTTGGAAAGCAGTTAAAAGAAGCTCTTGAATATAATTTTCCATCTTTTAGGGGACTTTGAGTTGCCATTTCTTAGCTAGAAACATCATCATGTAAAAAGGAGTCATATTAAAATAAGAAATTTAAATTCTAGGGCTGGGTTTGTTGCTCAGTGGTAGAGCACTTGCCTAGCATGTGCAAGGCCCTGGGTTCGATCCTCAGCACCACATAAAAATAAAATAAAGATACTGTGTCCAACTACAAAAAATAAATATTAAAAAAAAAGAAATTTAAATTCTAAATTTTCACCCACTGTTTTTGAATAATAATTGAAATTTAGTTATTGAAGCAGTAATTTCTTGACACCATGATATAATCGACTCTTCTGTCCTCTGCAACCCCTGTCCCCATTCATTCAAGTAAAGTTTGATGTATTTAAGAAAGTAGGTAATTAGAGTGTAAACATAGTAACTTTTCGGAATTAGTGTCTTTAATTTTGAGAAGGGGATAGTAAACACTGGAGGTGAACATCCTCTGATTTGGATAAAATATCTGGTTAGTATTTCAAATGCTGGAACAAATACAGAATGTGTAAAGATAAAAAATTAATAAGATAAACTCTACCCTTAAGTATAATCATGGAAAAAGCCAGCCTTACTATAACTAGCAGTAAAATAAGCCAGAATGTTGAGTGTTATGGTAACAGAAGGCAAGAAAGGAAATGTTAAGCAGTAAGTGGGAGTTAAATAGAGAAAGGGCCTTTGCCCACCTGGATAGACAAACAGGAAATGGCTGAAGGGAGGAAGTAGCACGAAGCTGACTGAGGAGTGAACTAGGAAGAATGGAGAAGTATTAAATGAATAGATACAGGAGTGAGAGAAATGTCCAGCATTGTACCCACACCGACTTACCTGAAATAGTCCTCTACCAATGTCTGCTAAAGCAGAGGCAGATAGCCAGCTTTATAACCCATGATCTCACCCAACAACCCCAGTTCACTTCTGGAGCTGCATTTGTAACACGATTCTATACTTGTGACCCCCATCTACTAGACACCTTAAGAAACAGTTTCCTGGACCAGACACCTGGACAGACTCTTTCTCAAGAATTTGAGCCATAAAATTCAGACTGTCAAAAAATAATATATGTTTGGGGAGCCAAGAGACTGCTCCAGAGAGGAAGGAGTGACCCTGGTTTTGGGCTTTGTAATCCCATGCCTGAGGAGGGGTCACAACAGTGCTTCATTTCCTCCACTGGATGCCAGTGATTTTGACAGTTGTGTCCTTGCATTAAATCCCCTTTTCCTCAAATGGGCTTTAGAATATCTGTTCCTTGGAGTCAGACAACCCTAAGTTGGACTMTTGATTTTGAATACTTGGTGATTGAGAAGATGGTGATACCAACTGTGAAAGAAACATAAGGAGTAGGTCTGGAAGGTGATCTTGGATATATATTTGATTGGTACTGGGATAGGCTGGCAATATTTGGAATTCAAGCCTAGGAATTATTAAATCTAGAAATGTAGATCTTGCAGCTCTGTATGAGGCCAACAACAATTTATTGAAATGATGAAGGCAGCCTGGGAGATGATATGGGAGAATAAAAGATGAGGACCAAAAATTGAGGGAAATATATATAAAGTACGTGCAAAGACAGAAAAGGAGGTGAAAATAACAGAAAAACAGGAAGATATCCAGAGTTGTGCAAGTTTCTCAAATGGGACTTTACAGTGATCACAAGGTAGAATGCAAATCAAAGACATAATTGGGTTAGGGAATTGAAGCATGATTATCATTTGAGAAGGCAGCTGCAGTGTAATACAGTAGGAGCCAGATGGATACTATTTGAGAAGTAGATATTAAGACATAATGAATGAATAGTACTGGAGAAATCTGAAAGTGACAATGTGTAAAGAACATTATTTGAAAGTGTATACTACTTTATTCCATTTTGCTTTCAGATCTGAAAGGAGGAGTATAATATGATCTGTGACTATGTAATAAGCTATATTTAAGCTGGATCTTTTGTAGTAATAAGAATTAAACCAAGAGCGCTCCACCAATGAGCTACATCTCCAACACTTTTAAAATTTATTTTTAATTTTATATTTTTATTTTGAGACAGACTAAACTGCTGAGTCATTGGGATTACAGGTGTGTACCACTGTGCTTAGCTAAGCTGAGTCTGATAGCTGCCAAGCTTGGTGGTGCATGCCTGTAACCCAAGGATGCGGGAGGCTAAGGCAAGAGGATCCAAGTTCAAGGTAGATCTCAACAATTTAGTGAGATCTTAAGCAATTTAGCAAGATCCTGTATCAAGATAAAAAGGGACCAGGGATGTAGCTAAGTTAAAGTCTAAAGGAAATTATGAGTAAGCAGAGAAAAGCAATCTGTAAAGGAAGAAATGAAGTTTGGGGAGCCAAGAGTTAAATTCCCAGTCACCGTCCCCCCCACTCCAAAAAAAAGGATAATTGCTAAGAGGAAAATGGGCGAAAGTTATACAATATGGTTGCAGATTTACTCATTATGATTAAGATGTGCAGAGGAAATGGAGTTTTCTTAACAGAACTAATATAACCTTCTTAAACCCTACCTATTGGTAAGTCCATAGAAAATTAACTTCTGATCTTAGCCAGTTGAAAACTTACCATATACTCTGATATAAAGGAGATATAAAATATAATAGCTTAAGGTATCTAAAGTAATCCTTAATCTGCTAGGAAATGCTATCTGGCTTCTGCCTTTTGTCTCTCAAATTTGTGTCCAGATGTATGGAGAGGGCTTACATGACATAATGGCATTAGTGTGAGGGATCTTGAGCTCTTCCATTCTCTGGGCATCCTACTGGCCTCTGATATAGTTAAGCAGTGGCTTATAAAAATATATGATCAAGTCTTTCCTAACTCGGTCAGAGCCTGGTGGTTCTTGGCTGAACTGGCCTCACCTCCGTTCTCTTGGGTGTGGAGAAATCTCTGAGGCTCTGCCACCTGCAGTTCTGTCTCAAGCAGTCTAATGTAGGTCAGGCTGCAGGTTTATCACTTGCCATTCCACAGTAGGCTCAGGAGAGCCCCGTTGCTTCCCCTTTAGTTATATTTCTCCAAAAATATAGGAACTTGTGGGTCCATTCCATACCATACAGGAATAGAGAAAGCAAACTATATTGCTAAAAAGACTTCTTTTAACATGGCTGTGTCTTTGCCTGAAAGGCCATATCTTTTCATAATCCTTTAGACTATTCTACTTCCAAGCATATGATAGAATACTTCAAAACAATTAAAAATGGACTACTGTACATTCAGCAACATGAATTGCATGTATATAATGTTGAATAAAAGAAGCCAAACACAAAAAGATTATATGATTCCATTTACATAAAGATAAAAAATTGGCAGAAAGACTCTGTAGTATTAAAAGTCAGTATAGTAGTTGTCTATGAGAGGAAGGTTGGAGGAGCTAGCAGCACTCACTTCCTTGGAAAGGGTATATATTTATTTGCCTGTATTTATGAAATAGTTATTAAAATCTATCTGTAATACCTAAATAGGATACATACATAGAATATTTTTTCAACTTCTAAACTTTGAAAATCCTTTAAATTCACTGGGAATTTGTTACCTGAAACCTTTCTACCATTTTGTAAACAACTTTCAGTTAAGGTATCTGTAATGACCTTTATCTGTATCCTGTTTCACTACTTGGTTGTATTTTCATTATAAAAATAATTAGTATGGTTTCTTCAGGATTAAAGTTTTAGTCTTTTTTTTTTTTTTTTTGGTGGTGCTGGGGATCGAACCCAGGTATGCATGTGAAGCAAGCACTCTACCAACTGAGCTATGTCCCCGGCCCTAAAATTTTAATCTTCATATTGTAAATTTTTTTAAAAAATTACCCAGTTTTTCACAATGACAGCTATACAAAGTTTTACGCATTTCATAAAAGTAACCTAATTTATGAAAGAGAATAGGACATAAATCCAACAGAAGTAATTACATGAAAACTATTTTAGAGCTTGCTTTTCAGAAATATGGACCTACTGAAACAACACAGCAAAATTTGCACTAGATGAGGGGCTATTAGCATCTCTATGAGTTGGTGTCCAGTAATAATGCTTTTTAAGGCCGTTGGAAACTTCTGCAAGATACACGTGTCCATCCACCACATATGGCTCCACATCTGTATTGTTTGGTTTTAGATGGCCCATTTGAATTAAATCTGAATATGCCTAGGATTTTTAGGAAAAATTATCATTAGGAATATAATTTATTCAACTTACAATGCTGAAACAAATATAAACATTTGATTTAGCCATGTATTTTGTAGTTTAAAATACTCTTAACGTGGTTGAATTTTAATATTTTCCAGATATTTTTAATTCATTTAATTATGATGAAATTGTAATATTGCAAAATTTTTTTAAAGTTTTTAATATATTAGGCATGTTTTGTTATTTTGTAACTCTTCAATTCCTTATACTAAGTGGACCAAAGGTTTCACAGTCAAATTTAAGTCTTACAAGGTGATGGTGCACTGAGTAGAGGGTTGTTTTGGTTGCTCTGAAAAATCTGATGATAGCTGGGGACCCATTCCTCCGAAAAAATAAATGGAACCCTAGGATTTGGACATTTCAAGAATTCCACAGTATTATATGCTGGCCTATTATTTCTTCATTGTAGAATTTTCTTTGCATATCTCTTGGATCCTTGGTGTCTATATAAGGGTATCATACAATTACGGTGAATTGGTTTGTTAATAAGGTTTACATTATAGAAAGAGGCAGAAATTTAGACATGAAAAGATTTAGCTAGGCCAGGCCCAGTGGCAAAGTCCTGTAATACCAACTATTCAGGAGGTTAAGAAAGGAGAATGGTAAGTTCAAAGCCAGCCTGGGCAAGTTAGCAAGACCCTGTCTCAAAACAAAAATTTTAAAAAGGATTTGGGCATGTTGGTGCATGCCTGTAATCCCAGCAGTTTGAGAGACTGAGTTAGCAGGATCACAAGTTGGGAGACCAGTTTCAGCAACTTAATGAGGCCCATTCTCAAAAACATAAAAAGGACTGAGGATGTAGCTCCTTGATAAAGTGTCCCTTGGGTTCATAGTACTTCCCCCACCCCCCAAAAAAAGAAAAGAAAGAAAGTGTTAAGGATGTTGTTCAGATCAGTGGTAGAGTACCTGCCTAGCATGCCCAGGATGTGGGTTTGATCACTGGCATCATCAAAATTAAGAAAAAAGATTTAAAGGTTTGTTTTGCTTTCCATATTTAGCTTGTCATTATCAGTGGTTCCAAAATCAACTTACATACCTTCTAGTTTATAGAACTACTAAAGGACATTGATGTTTTTCAAAATTTATGAGTGTTTGTTAGACAGTAGTATGTATTTTAGTACCCTGTAAGTAGTGGAGTTTCGGTTAGTCCTTTTGTAAATTTTGAGAATTTTATCTTCTTTTTTTCCCCCAGTAATTCCTTATTATTTATTCTCCTCTTAGACACTTGGATATATAAATATAAAATAAATATAAAATGGTATATATCATACTTAGCAATAGCCAAATACACATTTTCTTGGTACTCCCCATAAGAATAAACTAATGAAATTTTCAGAAGCATACTATATACTCTATCCCTCTCACCTTCTTGGGGAAAAAAAAAAAAAAAAGGTCAATTCTTTCAATTCTCCACAATTTCTTTTTGAGGGGGGTGAGTTACTAGGGATTGAACACCCAGAGGCACTTAACCACTTAACCATCCCAAACCCTTTTTATATTTTATTTTGAGACAGGGTCTCACTAAGTTGCCTAGGGCCTTGCTAAGTTGTTGAGGCTGGCTTTGAATTTGTGATCCTCCTGCCTCAGCCTCCTGAACTGCTGGGATTACAGGGGTGTGCCACTGCACCTGGCTCCATGATTTTTAACAATGGAGTCTCAAATTAAGTAATCTAAGTCTATTGAGAGACTAAAATATCTAAATCAACAAATTTTAAAATATTTGTATGTGGGCCAGGCCCGGTAGCACATGCCTATAATCACATTGGCTGGGGAGATTGAGGCAGGAGGATCACAAATTCAAAGCCAGCCTCAGCAAAAGTGAGACACTAAGCAACTCAGTTGCTTAGTCTATGTCTAAATAAGATACAGTCTATGTCTAAATAAGATAAGATTTAGTCCTATGTCTAAATAAGATACAAAAAAAATAGAGCTAGGAATGTGGTTCAGTGGTCGAGTGCCCCTGAGTTAATCCCTGGTACCAAAATAAATAAATAAATAAATAAAAATATACACACACATACATATATATGTATGTGGCTGTACATCCACATACACAATGTATAATATCATGTTGCCAAGAAACTCCAACTAACAAATATTCTAAATAAGGTTTTCATTTCTTACATTTTGCATGAATAGATTCTGTTCTGTTCAAATCTGCATGGCAATTAAAACAAAGTTGAGTGCAATATACATGTGTTTGTGTGTATGTGCGCGTACATATGTGTATTCTCTTAAAACATTAAATACAGGTATATTTAGTATACATCTCCTTATATCTTGGAACCATTTCTGAGGCACATGTAAATAATGTCTGTCATAGAGAAGTTCCAGAAAAAGCCTTCATTGACGAAAAACTTACCACACATGTGGCCTCATCAAATTTGTTTCCCCAAATGTAGATATTAGATAATGTGGGATTTGTTTTCACTGACTGTGAAAGTGCAACAAGTCCTTCTCCCTCTATATTGTTGCTGACTACTGATAATCTGTAGAAAAACAAAAGGTAATAATGCTAGAAACCAGTAGTTCAACAAAGAAAAAAATGTGTAAGTTAGCAATAACATGTATTACAGCCATTTTCACATGTAAAATCTCAGCATTACTCTTTAATGTTTTAATGTGAACAAAATATTGGCCATATAATTTCTAAAGTTCAAGAAGTTTTTCTTATCATATGCTTCATTTAATTAGAAAAGCTGCCTAGCTTTTAAAAGTAGTCTGCTTTATATTATTCAGTAAATGTTTGGGTAGATTGTAGATATAAGTCTGTATCATAGTGAATGTTTCTGATTTTTCAATATAATTCAAGGTACATAATATAGTCAACAAGAATTTTCTCATGAATTTTTCTTTTTTCCTGTGGTGCTGGGGATTGAACCCAGGCCTTGTGATGCTAGACAAGCACTCTACCAACTGAGCTATATCCCCAGCACCTCTCAAGGGCTAAACATCTAATATTTAAAAGGCATTACTTTTGAAAAATAGAAATTAAATACTTACTGTAACTTAGTAGGGAAAGATTTAGAAACTGAATCTTCACATTTTATCATAATTTAAGATTTAAGGAGTTTGAGATTAGTATTGTTAAAAAAACATGTTTTTCTGTTAATGTGATTAAATATAAAACCATACTAACACTTTAAGACTTCTGTTGTGAGAAGTAAGAGTTTCACTGAGACAGTTTGCTCCTGCATTTTCTATTCTGTTAAAAGAAAGATCTAAAACTTCCAGGGTAGTATTGCTTTTCAGAACATCAGCCAAATACTCCATTCCATCACGAGTTATTTTATTGCTGTGAAAGGAAAAATATTTGGTAATATTTGAAAATACAAAGTACTGCTTTGTTATTTACAGTAGTAAGATGCTTGAAAACATAATAAATAGTACTTTCTATTTTAGCTCACTCAATTTCCAAAAAAGTTAATGAATTTATAAAATATTGTTCCATATCTGATTAACATAACTAAATTATTCATTCAAGATATGAGATTATCAAGGACCTAGGAATTAAACCAGAGACCCTGTGTCTCATAGAAGAAAAAGTAGGCCCAGATCTTCATCATATCAGATTAGGCCCCTACTTCCTTAATAAGACTCCTATAGCACAAGAATTAATAAATGGGATGGACTCAAACTAAAAAGCTTCTTCTCGGCAAAGAAATAATCAGTGGGGTGAATAGAGAGTCTATAGCTTGGGAACAAATTTTTATCACTTGCACATCAGATAGAGCACTAATCTCTAGGGTATATAAAGAACTCAAAAAGCTAAACACCAAAAAACAAATAACCCAATCAATAAATGGGCTAAGGAATTGAACAGACACTTCAGAAGATAATATATAATCAATCAACAAATATATGAAAAAATGTTCAACATCTCTAGGAATTAGAGAAATGCAAATCAAGACTACTCTTAAGATTTCATCTTACTCCAGTCAGAATGGCAGCTATTAAGAATACAGACAACAACAAACGTTGGCGAGGATGTGGGAAAAAGGGCACACTCATACACTGCTGGTGAGACTGCAAAATGGTGCAGCCAATATGGAAAATAGTATGGAGATTCCTTGGAAAACTCTGAATGGAACCACCTTTTGACCCAGCTATCCCACTCTTCCATGTATACCCAAAGGACTTAAAAAAGCAGCATATTACAGGACACAGCCACATCAATGTTTACTGCAGCACAATTCAAAATAGCTAAACTTGAATTAACCTAGATGCCCTTCAATAGATGAATGAATAAAGAAAATGTGGTATACATACACAATGGAATATTACTCAGGAATAAAAATAAAATCATGGCATTTGCAGGTAAATGGATGAAGTTAGAGAAGATAAGGCTAAGTGAAGTTAGCCAATCCCCAAAAAGCAAATGCTGAATGTTTTCTCTAATATAAGGAAGCTGATTCATAGTGGGATTGGGAGGGGAGCATGGGAGGAATAGACAAACTCTAGATAGGGCAAAGGGGTGGAAGGGTAAGGGAGGGGGCATGGGGGTAGGAAAGTTGGTGGAATGAGATGGACATCATTACCCTAAGTACATGTATGAAGACACGAATGATGTGAATATACTTTGTATACCACCAGGGATATGAAAAATTGTGCTCTATATGTGTAATATGAATTGTAATGCATTCTGCTGTCATATATAATACATTAGAATAAAAAATTTAAAAAGCAAAAAAAGATGAGATTATAAGAGACATAATAACAATATTATCTAAATTAATAAATATTAAGGCTTAGGATGAAAAGTTGACAATGTTTGCCTTTCCCAATCACTGAAAATAGTGTGTAACAAAATATCTCATGTACAACTTTTGATTTAGTAACAAGTAAATTATCACTTACCAGCTGATATCAAGGTAACGCAGGCTTCTGTTCAGATACAGTGCATCGCATAACTTCTGCATACCACAGTTTTTTATACCATGCTTACATATGTGTAGTTCAACAAGCCATTGGTTTTCTTTCAACATGTGGCCTAGATGGACAGTGGACTCTTCCTGAAAATAGATAAAATCTTGTTTTTAAAATACAAATTTGAGGGGTTGGAGTTGTAGCTCAGTGGTAGAGCACTTGCCTGGCATGTGTGAGGCCCTGGGTTTGATCCTCACCACATATAAAAAATAAATAAAATGAAAGATACATTTAAAAAAAATACAAATTTGAAGCAATGCGTGTTTATTCCAAACATGCTACTATTTAAATTAGCTTTTTAGAAATATATATATTTTTGTTTTGTTTTTGCAGTATAGTGGGGATTGAACCCAGGGCCTTACGCACACCAGACAAGTGCTCTACCACAAACTAATATCCCAGCCCAAAAGTTTGAGACTTTCTTGCTAAGTAGCTCAGGCAGGCCCTGAACTTGTTATCCTCCTGCTTCAGCCACCATAGTTAGGATAATTTGACATGTACAATGATGCCAGACATGAGAAAGGTTATACTGTTTTTTTTTTTAATTTTTATTTATTTATTTTTTAGTCATACATGACAGTAGAAAAAAATATGGAACGCTTCATGAATTTGCGTGTCATCCTTGCGAAGGGGCCATGCTAATCTTCTCTGTATAGTCCCAATTTTAGTATATGTGCTGCCGAAGCGAGCACAAGAAAGGTTATACTGTTTAAGACTATTAGTCTACTCAAAGTTGTATTTGGCCTTAAGAAAAAAAATCATCTTTGCCTCAAATCATATGTTTATTTGTTTGTTTTGTTTGTTTATTTATGCATGCAATGCTAGGGGTTGAACCCAGGGGCATTCTATCACCGTGCTACATACATCCCCCTCCCTTTTTTAAATTTTTATTTTGAGATAGGGTCTTACTAAGTTGCCAAGGGTCTTGCTAGCCTCAAATTTGTAATCTCCCTGCCTCAGCCTTCTAAATAGCTGGTATTACAGTTTGTGTCACAGTTCCTGGCTTGTACCCTCTTAGAAATAGGTATCAGGCACTTGTAAGATGCAGTGAGTAAGGATGTAGAAAAAGATGGAGAGTTTGATTTACAAAAACAATAATCAGTCATTTCATGAGGGAAAAAATAAAAATAATTGGTTAATCCTACATTAAACACGTAAATTCCCCTACTGCTGGCTGGACCCTCAAGAATCTCTGAAACTTTCTTATATCCTCTGTATGTTCCTGAACTTTGCCCCTGATTTCTACTCTCTTTTTACTTATAGTGTTGGGGATTGAACCCAGTGCTCTAATACTAAGCAATACATGAAGCCCTTTTTTTTTTTTTTTTTTTTTGTATGTTTCATTTTGAGACAAGGTCTTGCTAAATTGCCCAGGCTGTTCTCAGACTTATGGGTATGCACTACTAGGCCCAGTCCTGATCTCCACTCTTAATGGTTTAAGACAAAATACAAAGACATTTCCAATCTTGATTTTACTTTTAAAATATACTCATTAACCCTGTGATATATTTGATTACTTTCCTTTTATATGCATGCCAAGAATGTGTTCTACTCTTGTTTTCTGATCACCAGAAGACTTTTTTTTTTCATTTTTTAAATTTCATAGTCTAGCTACTTCTAAGAAAAATTATATACGTAGTCCCAACTAAGGTTTGAATACTAAGCATTTTAAGTTTTTAGAAAAATTGAAGCATATCTTAAAATGAATGAGCCCAGGTATTTTGTGGTAAGAAATCTTAAGATTGCTCTGTAACATAAGTAGTTTTACAGTCACTGGAAATATTGATGATGAACATGGACAACTACATGTTCTTATTATGTATAAATACATTGAGATAAACTAAAAGTTAAAGGAAACAACATAGTAATAACAAAATGTACATACGTTTTATAATAATCAAAACTGTCCAGATGTTAGTTTTACCTTTTTCCTGGACTATATGAATTTCAGCAAATTTCATCTAGCCCAGTCTCAATTTACTTTTCTGTAAAATAGGTGAAATTATGCTACCCTCACAGAATTAAGTAAGTCAACAAATAAGCACCTGCCACAAAATAAGTATTCTATAGTAAACTGTAAATCATTTATTATTGTTCAGTTTTCCAAAATTCTGTATCTGATTTGTTGAAATTACTGAAAAGATATAACTAAAGAAATTGCTATATAGTCTGGAATCTTAAAAAATGCAAACTGACCACTTACAGGTCCACTATTGCTCTGCTTCCTGCCGACAAGAGGACATAATACATTTTTGTGTTTGTACCCTGACTGCATTTTTAAACTAAGAAGCTTGAAAAAGGAACCATCTTTATTAAAGGAGAGAACTACTATCAGAAATAGTAAAGGATATTGTCCCCATTTGCTGAGTTTGTGACTTAATTTAGTTGCACCTGGCATCACTATTTATCTAAGCTTCCCAGATAATATCAATGAGCATCAAAGGTTAGGTCAACATTTACAACTTTTTATCTTATCATCCTGATTTTTCTATGGTAATGAACATTAAACCTTAAATGCAATAGGTTTGCAGGCTTTTATTTGGGAACTACACTGTATAGGAAAGAAGGTTTTTACTCTACAAATACTAAAAAGTGGACTAATGCCCTCTAGGATACATACAGTGATGTCTACCTTAGAAAAGAGAGGAGGCCTGAAGTATCAGGCTAGGCAAGAACATGGCCCCACATAGGAGCCCTGGGCTTTTAATATTTGTTCTCAGACAGATTTGTGATTAATGACACCACTCAACAAATTTAGAAGAGGGATTGCATCTAATGTGATTTCATATATTTAAACATACTTATTTCCTAAAAGATATGGTCCAAAAAATTTTTAATTCAACTGTCAAACTTGTCAGGTCCTCAATCTGAGATCCTTCCGTGCTGCCTCACCTCTCCCTGCTTTGATTTCAGTGCCTTCCTTATGCTCCTGTGGCACCCCGAGCACATCATTCTCTAGACTGGTTGATTTCCCTCTACACAGACTGAAAACTCCTGAAGACAGGGTCATATGATTTGATCTTTTATCTCTGTCACCCTGCATTTTGTCTGGTTTAGGGTTGCATTCAAATATTTATGATTCGTAAATGAAGCAGTTCACTGTGTGTCTACTTTGAGCCAGGTATTTTGCTGGTATTCAAAGCATTTTTAAAAGTATGTTTCTATTATTTGAGGATTCTAGGTGTCTGGTTGAACAGATTAAATTTCTGTTTATGAAACAATATGATATAAAACTCAAAAAATGTTAGTAAAGAAAAGTACAGAGGTAATTCAAAGGGAGAGATCTACATAGGCAAAGAATGCAAGATACACTTCTGAATGTGAAAAATAGTACTTAAAATATGGTTCTGAATTACTCATACTACGATGTAACTATCAGGTAGTTAATTTTAAGTTATTTAAAGAGCTTTGAATTTTGTTAAATTTCATTTGGAAGTTCAAAACTCACTTAAATATTGAACTTAAAACATTAAACATATGCACATTGAACTTTAATAAAGTTTATTTTTTGGACTATATAAAGTGCTTTGGTGGTGCACACATATAATCCCAGCAACTTGGGAGGCTGAGGCAGAAGGATCACAAGTTTGAGGCCAACCTTAGCATTTAGTGAGACCCTCAGCATCTTCCTGATATCCTGTCTCAAAATAAAAAAGAAAAAGGACTGGGGTCATAGCTCAGGGATTAACCATCCCTGGGTTCAATTCTCAGTACTTAAAGAAAAAAAAAGTCCTTTGGATATTTACTTTTCCTTTTAGTAGATATATCTCTTTTTATTTAGACCAATAAAAAAGGGGTTCTTATTCCTTTTTTAACTTTTATAAAATTTAAAATATTTTTTAATTTGTTCTAATTAGTCATATTCTCTCTCTCTCTCTCTAACACTATTTAAGTAAGTTTAAGCCACTCTAAAGTGGCTTAAAGGATATTTGTTAAGGAAAAAGAAGCCTGAAAGAAGCAACCATGTTTTTTCTATCTCCAACATGCACCTTAACTACACATAGGTTCAAGTTCAAACTTGCCAAACTGCTGTTCAGACACATTTTGCTGTTATTTGTTACCATGTTTCAAAAATACAATGCTTTGTCACATTTCAACAAATAAAGACAGTTGACACTGGGCTCTTACATCCTGGCCTTTAATAAAACTTTTACCATATATTATTTTTGTCTTGAATGTCTTAACCATATAGGTCTATTCATTCAGAGTTTGAGTTTCAAGAAAAAAAGACATTTGATGCTTAAATAAGCAATATCTAAAAGCATATTCAATTTTAAAAGTCTTATCAAGAATATAATAATTTTCCTTTAAAAAATTTCTATTTGTAAGTAGTAGTTTACAAGATATAAGGATAATTCAAAAAATACAATGTATTCATACACTATAAACTTCACTAAGAACTCAGTTTTATTCACATGCTGTTATACTAGCTACCATCACTTTGAAAACATACCTGTTCCCCGTACAGTATAGGTCGGTTTAGGTTTATTCCTTTAATTGCTTGGTTTTGAGTTAATACTGTTGCAAATGCTATCACACTTTGCATTCCCTAAAAAATAAATAGGAAAATTCATTAAGGAAACTGACAATATATAAATTAATCTCTCTACATAAATATTTCAAGATCATTTATCTGAATTCTAATAAATCAAACTTTGTTTTTAAAAAGATTGCTCTTTGAATTATAGGTTGATTGAATTCAGAAATCAATTGTTATTGTAGTCTTCTTTCCCTGGCCTAAAATCTGTTTGCAACACGCACAAGGAGTTTCTTAACATTTCAGTATTCATTTCTTGGGTGTCTGACTCTAGTCTTGCTTCTTGGCCCTCAAGGTTTTGTGTGGGGTCCTCAAGATGTGGACCCCAGCTAGGGATCATACTACTTATGCAATATATGACTTTGCACAGGCATTCTTTTATGTTCATATAGCACATGAAGACAAGCAAAAACCACATTTTTCATTTTCAGGCTCAGAGTAGCTTTTACCATCCTAGTATTTTTCTTTTATTTTTTTAGCATTATTTTAAATTTTTTATGGCATAATGTAAATATTACAAAGTATTTTCAAAGTAAAGGAATTTGTATTATATTAGAGAACTAGTATTTGTTTAATTAAAAATGAACATGATTGTTTTCTTTAAAATTCCCTTACAGGTTAAGATGAGTATGGACAAAAGTTTAGGAATRTTTTTATTATACTGTATATTTTTCTATGATATTTACTATAATCTGATTTTATTAACAGTCTGTACTATTATATCAAGGAAAAAATCCCATCTTTTATTTTAGACATTAGGGACAAGATTAACAATTCATAAGACTGCCATTTGACTGGTTTCTTGGATGGTTCTCTATGCTGATTTCCTGGGAGAATAACACATTATCTTGGTGATTTGTTTCATAAACAATTTACTCACCAGGTCACAGTCACCCAGATCTAATTTCTCTAAGGATGAATTAATTTGCAGCATTGAAGCAAAAAACATTCCACCTTTATTTTCAATCTTATTTCCAGTCATTCGCAGGTATTTCAAAGTTGTATTCTTCTAAAAAAGAAAAGAATCAAAACTTATTTAACTCTTTTTTTGGGGGGTACTGGGCATTGAACCCAGGGGCACTCAATCACTGAGCCATATTCCCAGCCCTATTTTATTTTTTATTTAGAGACAGGGTCTCACTGAGTTGCTTAGTTCCTTGCTTTTGCTGAGGCTGGCTTTGAACTCAGGATCCTCCTGCCTCAGTCTCCTGAGACACTGGGATTACATGTGTGCACTGCTGCGCCCAGCTGTTATTTAACTTTTTAATCCATGGAATTCTCTAAATTAAATGAGTTAGGAGAGGGAATATTACCATTTATAAACACATGTAATCTTCAAGGAGATAGACTAGGATATTCCTTAAAGGTAATACTCAATTTCCAACAATAGATAAAAATCTACTAGTTTAGTAAAACGAATGACCAAGAAACAGAAGTCCAGTCAATAACCAGTAAATAAAACACATTTTAATAAACTTTCCTTTCATTGAAAATATAAATTTATTTTCTAAGAAATTACACCACTTTTTTATAGAGGTGAAATCCACATAATGGATTTATTAATCCATAATAATAAAATTAACCATTTTAAAGTATACAGCTCAGTGGCATTTACTACATTCCCAATGTTGTGTAGCTATCATTTGTAGCTAGTTCCAAAACATTTTCATTACTTCTAAAAGTAGTCCTGTACCCATTCAGCAGTCATTTTCCATTATGCCATCACTTTTTTTGTTGTTGCAATGTTAAATTCCTAACTCCCATTTTAAAGCAATATAATTTCTCAGACACTTGCAAGACTTAATTCCATTTCTTATTTCACTCTTGATTAAATAACAAAATTATAGCTATTTCATTATTCTAATGAATACATGTTAGGATATATAATAATGTAAATAATTATCTGTTTAAAATGAATTCAAACTCCTTTAAGATCAGGAAGAAGAGAAGTATGTCTGTTCTGGTCACTTCTATTTAACACTGTATGGAAAGTTAGAGCTAGGGAAATTTGGCAAGAAAAAGAAAAAAAAATCCAAATTAGAAAAAATGCTTGGATATGACATGATCTTGTACTGAATATGAAAAACCCCTAAGGGATCCACTAAAGAAATGCTGTTAGAACTAATAAACAAATTCAGCATAGGATACAATATCAAAATACAAAAATCAATTGTATTTCTATACTCTAGCAATGAACAACCTAAAAATGAAGTTATAAAAACAATTTAACTTTCAGTACCATCAGAAAAAAATAAAACATTAATAAATAAATTTAACAAAAGAATAGCAGACCTGCACATTGCAACCTACAAAACACAGTTGAAAGAAATTACATGGAACACATTCCATGTTCTTAGTTTGGAAGACTTAATATTGTTAAAATGGCAATACTCTACAAATTTATCTACAGATTTAACAAAATTCCTATCAAACTCCTAGCTGCTTTTTCTTATAGAAATTGATAAACTCCTAAAATGTATATAGAAATAAAGGGATCCAGAAGATCCAATATAATCTTGAAAAATTAGTAAAGTTAGAAGACTCACACTTATTAATTTCAAAACTTACTACAAAACTATAAAAATCAAGATAGTATAGTACTGGCATAAGGACAGAAAATGGATTAATGGAATTCAGAGTACTGCAGAAATAAACCCTCACATTTACATCAGCTTTTTTTTTTTTTTTTTTTGACAAAGGGGTCAAGATAATTCAATGGGGGTAAAGAACAGTTTTCTTAACAAATGTGGTAGGGACAAGTGGATAGCCATTATATAAAAGAATGAAGTTAAGAGTGAAGTTTGATGCCTACCTCATACCATATATAAAAATTAATTCAAAATGGATGAAAGAACTAAATGAAAAGAGCTAAAACTACAAAACTCTTAGAAAATATACATGTAAATCTTTGTGACCTTGTGTTGGGCAAAGCGTTCTAGATATTTAACATCAAAAGAAAAGCAACAAAATTAAAAATTGGGTTGATGAAAAATCTAAAAGGTTTTATACTTCAAAGAACATCAAAGAAGTGAAAAGACAACGTACAGAATGAGAGAAAATGACTTGCAGATCACGTATTTGATAAGAAACATATCTAGAATATATAAAGAATTCTTACAACCCAAAAGGACAACCCACCAGTTGCAGGGCATACCCCTGTAGTCCCAGCCACTCAGGAGGCGGAGGCAAGAGGATCTCTTTAGCCCAGAAGTTCAAGACCAATCTGAGGGGCTGGAGATAGAGCTCAGGGGTAGAGCACTTGCCTAGCATTTACATATGTAAACTCTGGGTTCAATCCTCAGTGCTTCAAAGAAGGAGAAAAAAATAAAATGGCCAACCTGAATAATATGATAAGACCTTATCTCAAAATAAAACCCAATCTAAAAAGGGCAAAAGATTTGAACAGAGTTTTCTCCAAAGGATATATACAGATGAACCATAAGCACATGAAAAGATTGTCTACATCATTATTCATTAGAGAAAAGTAAATCAAAAAACTACAAACTGTTTCACACTCCCTACGAAGGTTAAAATTAGGCAATAACACGTGCTGGTGAGGATGTGGAGAAATTGGAACACCTCAACATTGCTGGTAGAATTGTTGGTAGCTGCAGCCACTGTGGAAAACAATTGTCAGTTCTTCAAAATGTTAGACCTCATATGACCCAGCAATTTCACTCCTAGGTATGTATCCTACAAACTGAAAACAAGTCCATAAAAAATATGTGACTATCCATAGTAGCATTATTCATAATAGCCAAAAAGTAGAAACCCAAATGTCCATCAACAGATAGATGAACACAATTGATATATCCATACAGTGGAATATTACTTGCTAATAAAAACAGATGGAACGTGTTACAATATGGATGAAACTTTACACATTAAGGCCTTGTATCATAGGATTCATCTATATGAAATGTTCAGAATAGGTAAGTGTACATATAGTAAGTAGATTGGTAGCCTCTAAAGACTGGAGAGAACTGGGAGGGAATAATGGAGGGGGGATTGCTATAGGTTTGGAGTTTCTATAGGATGGGGTGATGAAAATGTTCTAAAAATATTGATAGTGGTGATGGCTGCACAGCTCTCTAAATATACTTTTTATTAAAAACTCTCACTGAATTAAAGACTTTAAAAGGGTAAATTTATTATGTATTATAATCTTGATAAAACTATTTTTAAATGAATTCAAAAGTGCTCATGTAATGTCCATACTTTAATAGACTAAAAGTGAAATAAAGAAATAATATAATTTTACATTAACATTTAATTATGTTGTTACCAAGCAATCAAAACTTAAAATTCCCAAGTAATATGTTAGTTTGAAGTACATAAATGCTTACATGAAGTGCTTTAGCAATCAATTCTCCACCTTCAGGTCCAATATCATTAAACATAAGATTTAAGTAAATGAGATACCTCTGTGTCTATGAGAGAGAAAAAAGAAGCTATTATACATGTATTGTGGAAATCAATCATATACACATTTATTTAATTAAAAACACTAACCAAAGAAAATTTTTATGATCCAGAAAAACTGAATTCCAGCAAAAGCAACTACCGTTAAGGAAAAATAATGAATTTTCAATAATAAGTGAAAGAAAATTACTGTATTCACTTTTACCAACAACTCAAAGTGTGGACATGCTATGGTAATTCATAATGGTGGGGGAAGAATAGAGGTATTTTGAACTAGAGAGAGGAGTGAAGGAGGGGGCATTCTGCCGCACAACCAGCATGCGAGCTTCATAAAAGAGGTTCCAAGCATAGAAATTAACTGGTGAGTTTTAAAATTAAAGAGACATACTCTCGTTACCTTTAATAACCAGCTCCGGAGATGGCTTCTCCTAGCTCCCGCCTCCAGCCACCTAATTCGGTGAGCGAGAGAGGGAGAGCACGCCAGGGAGTGAGCTTTTATTGGGGAACAAAAAATTCAAGGGAAAATCCCATCCAATGAAGGTCGAGGAGGGCAGCATTCCAAGGTCAGGGTCAGTGATTGGTCTTCAGGTCAGTGGTCAGGCACACCTCCACACGGACAAGCCCTCGCACCTGGGACTGGGTGGGGAAGGCTCTGACACAGTTGTCAAAGCGCCTCTCACCCAGCCAGGGAGGTAACTCAAATCACGTGCGAGAACGGCTTCCCACAGGGCATGGGTGTAGAAATGATTGTAGAATAAATTGGACATTATTACCCTATGTGCATATATGATTATATGACCTGGGTAACTCTACATCATGTACAACCAGACAAATGAGAAGTTATACTCCAATTATGTATGATGTGTCAAAAGGCATTCTACTTTCATGAATAACTAATTAGAACAAATTTTAAAATATTTAAAATTATTAAAAAAGTGTGGACATACTTTATGTATTTAACAAGTTTGCAAAAGATAACTCAGGAAATCTGGGTATCAGCTCTACTGAGACCAAATATGAATTTCCATGTATTTCAAGTGTTATAAATATAGCACAGAGTCAGGACCTTCACATTTTGCATAACTAGTGTTTGTGTATGTGCCATTATACTAAGTAGTTTCACTGTAAACAGAACTAAGAATATTCTGTAGTCAAATAATACCTGAAGCAGGTTTGCAGCATAGTATGCACCAGCATCACTTAGAACGTTATATCTCACATCCAAACCTGAAAGACACAGATGAAACTTTACATTCCTTATAAAATAGAACACTGAAGAGCAGGAGGTACTTATTCTTAATCAAACATACCATTAATATATGGGCAACTCTCTAAAATTTGGGAAAGAATCCCAAAATCTTCATCTGTTACTCTTTCTACTGGGATTAATCTATTGTTACCCGCGATGTTTAAGGTGATTCTTTTTTCCAATCTGTTAAAATAAAAATAAAAAAAAAAGAAAGAAAGAAAGAAAAAAATGGAGAAAAGATTCTGAAATACAAAGATGACAGATACTGGAACCATGTAGTAGAATGACTTACAAGTATATAGTAGATTTTTACCAGGTAACTAAAAACTACTGGACATTCTATAGACTTCGCAAAGCACTTTAGTGTATTCTGTATGAGTTAATTTCTCTCTTACACACACATATGCAAAGTATTCCCTCTTTATATTAACAACATAGACAATATTGATGATTTGCCTAAATTTGTCAGCTCACAGAGCTAAAAGGAATCTGGAGCCCTGATTTGAGGGCTCTTGGTCTAGTGCCCTTCCCAGTATCCTACACCATCTCTAAGATCTACCAACAGTGTCACTCATCTACTTATTCATCTGAATCAAAACATTCATCCATTTTTACCCAGCTTTTTCATGGCTATAAAATCAGTGACTTTCACACATCTAAGAATTAGTAAAACTACTAATGTAGTCAAATACTTATTTTTCTTACCCCTTTTTAATATCTTCATCCACTTCTTGGAGTACATGCAATATATAAGGATTTATTTTCTTGGAGTTTTCCAAACACAGATTACAATAATATTCCTGGAGCCCAGCAATAGATTCTGGAACTTTTGAAAAAATAAATGTATCTATCATCACAAATTATTCTAAAAGTTTTTTTCTCAATATATGTCCTTCAAAAAGTGTGTGTGTGTGTGTGTGTGAGAGAGAGAGAGAGAGAGAGAGAGAGGAGAGAGAGAGAGAGAGAGAGAGAGAGAGAGAGAGAGGRGAGAGAGAGAGAGAGAGGAGAGAGAGAGAGAGAATGTGTAAAAGAAAAGGAGAGAGAACTAAGGATAAAAAGAGAAGAGAAATAAAAGCAATGGGAGACCAAATAAAAATGCTGATATTCCTTATAAAGAATAATTTCTACGAGGGCCATTGATGCACCCACCAAGGCTGGGCAGACACTGGCTGATGACAGTGGAAATGACATAAAGGGAGAACTAACCTCTTTCCTTTGGTAGCTGAGGAAAATGCTGTCCAGAGAAATATTTTATGTGAAGTCATGTAATAATAATGGAATGTGCAAAATCAAACCGATTTCAGACTCTTCCCATTGTGCCATATGAACTGTAAATATAAATGAAGCAAGTACAACAGATTTCACAAGTGTGTATGTGTGTGTGTGTGTGTGTTGGCTGCACCATGGACCAGGATACCAGAAATGTGTCAGATTTAGGAGTGGTTTTTGTGAAGGCATAAAGGAATTTTTGATTAGAGCCTAAACATTAGTTTAAGAAAGTTGCAAGAATATTTTTATTTAATTAGCTAGCCATATTTTAAAGCTTTGCTATATTTCCCTGTTACTCTTTTGATTTAAAATTCACCTGTGTTTTATATATGGAAATTTTATGGTGCCAATAATTGGCTTTCTATACTATATTCTTTTTTTTTAAAGAGAGAGTGAGAGAGGAGAGAGAGAGTGAGAGAGAGAGAATTTTTAATATTTATTTTTTAGTTCTCAGCGGACACAACATCTTTGTTGGTATGTGGTGCTGAGGATCGAACCCGGGCCCACACGCTTGCCAGGCGAGCACGCTACCGCTTGAGCCACATCCCCAGCCCTATACTATATTCTTATTAGCATAAAAATATTAAATCAGTCTTCAAATTGTAAAGCAAATTGAAAGGCAAAACTAGGTAACAATAGCTACACGGGAAAATGTCAAGAATCTAACCCAAATTTCGTTTTTTATCTACACCTCTGGCAGACATTTAAAAATTTCTAGAGAACAGGTCTACTTATTTTGGAGGCAGCTCTCTCCAGATCATCTTTTATGGCGGAACAGCCACATACTGGAAAATCCAAGAGTTTGAATCAGATTTTGTCGTCCATACTCTGTGGTATGTAACTTTAAGCAAATTAAATTCTCAGAGCTTAAATTTCCTTTTATGCTAAAGGCAGAGCATAATAATGTTTTGTTCTGGTGCAATGAGGATTAGGGCTCTTTATCCACCTTGTTTCACATCCATCAACACACACTTTAAAACAAGCCCAGTGACTGGAGAGGCCGAGGCAGGAAGATCTTGAGTTTGAGGCCAGACCTCTGCAACTTATTGAAACCTGTCTCAGAATAAAAAATAAAAGGGGCTGGAGATGTAGGTAAAGCATCCCTGAGTTCAGTCTCTAGTTTCAAATAAATAAATAAATAAATCCAAATTTGAAATAGGGGACAGGTGTCATTCAGGCTAAGCTTTTTTCGTTAAACTAAGGCAGTCCAAAAGTGCAAAGTCAGAACGGTCTCCAGATTTCTCTTGCTCCACTGGGATCTGACCAATGCGGCGACGAGCCCCTAAACACACCTTCCTTCAGACTCCGGAAAGCAGCTACGCGACTGGCGCGCACAGGGCACACCGCGGGCGGTCTGGGCTTTTCTCCTGCCAGGGTTTGGAGACTCCGCAAAGTCTGGTCCAGAGTTGGGGTGCCCAAGGGCATCCTCCAGCCGCGCCGCTCTGGGCAGGCAGCTCCTCGCGCGTTGCGTCCGGGCCAGGTGGGAGCACAACGGCACCCTCCTTCTTACCGTTCTTGCTCGCGGAGGCCGAGTCTGGGTTGGGGTTAGGGGTGAGAGTAGGAGTTGGGGTATCATCGGTCTCCACCGCCTCGACGACGTTCTCCTGCAGGCTACTCGACATCCTGTGCTCTTCTAAACGCTGCTGCAGCGGCGACATTGCCCTGGCAACTGCTCGCCGCGCCGCGCCGCGCCGCGCTATGGCCCGCCCAGGGGCGGTGCCTCAGGGAAAGAATGGGGCGGAGCCACGGCGCAGGCCCCGAGCGCCGGGTCCAGCGTGTTGCGCGCTCCTTGCCCCGCGCGCGTGGGCCTTGAGGCCCTGCTGGGCACGCGGAGAAGCAGATTCTGAGGCTCTTTGGCTACCCTGCCTGGGCTGAAAGGCACACTGAAGGAGGGCTCCCCGGCTCCTTTGCAGGGAGGAGTTCCCGGGATTTGGGTGGATATAGGGCTAGGGGCTGGGGCTAGAGAGACGATTATGACACATCCGTCACCCGCAAAGGGTGCACAGGTCTGCGGATGCCAAGCTCTGGAAACTGATGGTAGCACCAGCACGCGTTAAGGACGTGGCGGTATGGGAACATAAAGGGTTTTGTGGAGGGGCGGGACCATCCAGGAGGACTTTCTGGAGGAGGTGACAACCAAACTAGTCAAGAGGTAACCTGTCAGAGGGCACAATTGCTTAGTGTGTGTTGCAGAGGCGCAGGTACTTTGGGTGTACCCGGATCAGTTCAAGGAGGTGAGAGGCAGGCGCATCTTCCAAGGAGCACAACTGTGATGGAGCTGGAGCATCAACTGTTAAGGGACAGGGGCCCCCAGAGCCCTCAGATCGCAAGACACTGATGATAGAGGATGGATTTGACTGGACCTAGACGGGAAACCTAGTCACAGGCAGGTCCAGCAACCCAAGAGAGACTGGCTAAGGTGGGAGTCTTACCGCTCCGGTTTCACCGAAGGCAGCAAGAGGGGACAGAACCCAGTGATATTACAAAGTACTACTGCGGTCAGGATGTGGGGCTTTTTTGAGTGTAGGGGGGAAACAAGGTAGGAAAAGGGCAAGATCTTCTGTTTGGGAGTTGCCATAGACCGAAGCGAAGGAGATGGAGGGGACATGTAGAGGACTGTGGAACTATTTGAGACTCCTTGCGGGTGAGAAAGTGGAGGAAAATGCGAAAGGTGAAAACAGGCCACTTATAATTAAGTATAGAATGCTTGACTAGTGCATGCAAGACCCCAGGTTCAATCCCCAGTAAGAAACACACACACACACACACACACACACACACACACACACACTCACACACACACCACACTTCTCCTTCAGCTAATTAGCTTTTTAAAACAATAAACATCGCCTCCCTTGTACTACCGTACTGGGCGAATTCCTAAACAAACCAGCACTCCATCTCATGAAATTGTGTTCGACCTTGCTTGCCTATATGTTTTAGAGTATCACTTGAAATGTCCTTTCTCCAGGTGAAACATGATGATTATAGGGAGCGCTGTATTCATTTATACTATGTGCTCCCAACAAAGTTAAGAGGCAGCTTGGAATTCTAAAGCAAGAGTGAGTCCAGTTCCAGTACCCATGTGCCTTTTCCTATCTCTCCCTTACAGTATTTAGAATTAAGAAGGTAAGGGAAAGCAAAGAGGGTGAGGATGCTACTACTGAGGAAGGATGGAATACTCTTCCAAGGAAACAATAAGTAGTTCCAGAGAGTGACTAACTAACAGAATAGAAAAGGAGCTGCCTTAAACCAAGCAGCACCTATAGCACTGTTTTCCTCTCCACCTTAGCAAAACAAAGCAGAAACAATGAGAGAGCATTTACACCGAACTACAGTGATGTCAAATACATATCGAATAAAATGGTTGAAAGGACACTAATCACATCTACAACTAGTTTCCATCAATATATTTCTCCTTATTAGTGATTCCCAGGTGGAGGGGGATGTAGTCCAAAAAGCTACCTCTTAAGAATCACTGATGGGGGGAAGATGTTATTGAACAGACGTAAAGGAAACTTGGGTGGGTTTGCTGAATACTTAAATTCAAGATTCCAGAGTGGAGGTATAATTTGATTCTGAACTTTCTAGAAATCAGAACAAAAGATAATATATGTTCCAATAAAGGGCAGTATTTGCATTTTTCTGGCTTCTTATCCTAGGAAAGTTTAGTATGTATTCTTATATGAGTAACTTAATAAACAATGTACTATTGCTTGGTAGAAGATCCATAAATATTTTTAAATGATTGCTTCTTTTGCTTTAACTCAATGTAACAATCCAAAATCATGGCATTCAATCATAATTTAAAGGTGTCATTTCTCTAGAAACCCAGATAATACTTACACAGAGAAAAGGCTTGCTGCCCAAAGCACATAGAAGCCAATACCATGGCACCCCGTTTTTGTGAAAAGAAAGGGTTTTCATGTCAAGGAGACAGGAAGCATTCTCAAATCTGTCTCCTCTCTGAGCTGTATCAAAGGAATTTAAGCAGCTTGGGGTAAGGAATTGTGCCCAGTAAAAGGGAACAGGGAGAATTGTGGGTACTTTGTAACTGGGAAGTTTMCAGTCTCTTTGTTCTGGTCTGCTCTGCTCTGTAAGGTCCTGTTCTGATAATTTGTGTTCCACTCAATGAAGACTTTGGTTATGGCCAGGTTCTCAGTCATTTTAAGCCAAGTTGTAGGATTCTGCACCTGTGTTCTGAAGAACAGCTTGGACAATTTTTAGAAATAGGGAATTTGATGTTTTATAGACCACTTTCAATATGGCCCATCTAGGTATGTTTTCTTATAATTTAGAGATGGAACTCAAAGGATTCAGGGAATTCATACTTAACATATCCATCAGCTATATATATATATATATTTTCCTACCAGATGGCTCAACTGTGCTGCTATCAAGTGCTGGAACAGGGTAGACTTGTGGTTGAAATTGCTGACACTGATTTTTCTGAGGGGTATTTGGAGTGCTGGCTTCTGGTGTTATTCAGGCATGCATGTTTGGGTATTGAATATGTAGGTGGAAGAATTAGTGTTTTGTTACTTAAAAATTTTTGGCCCATGGATAAGAGTGAGTCATGAAAATTCTACATTTTTATTTTCTGATGAGATGGAAAAGTATGGTAGTGAATACCTACCTTCTTGCTCATTATGAAAGGTAAGTTTGAAATAACAAATTCTTTAAAAATAAATAAAGAAGATTTTTCCTGTGAATTGCCAGAGAGATGGTGTGAGTAGGGGAATGAAGAGTAGAAACACTCCAAAAAATGGGTAAAATGCCATTTTTGAGTCTATCTAAAGGAAATAAGTCCTAAAAGCTGTTTAGATGAATAGTTTGGTGTTGGGCTGATGGGGGCACACTGCTGTACACAAGTGCTGACAATTCTGGCAAAGGGATATTCTGCTAAGGACTTTTTCACCTTTAGGCAACTGATCAGATTTTTTTTTTTAACCAGGGATTGAACCTAGGGGAACTTAATCATTGACACATCTGCAGCCCTTTTTATATTTTATTTTGAGACAGGGTCTCACTAAGCTGCTTAGTCCTTCCTAAGTTGGTGAGGCTGGCTTTGAACTTGCAATCCTCCTGACTCAGCCTCCTGAGCCACTGGGATTTTAGACATATACCACTGACTCTGTCCTGATCAGAGATTTTCAAAAGGATGAAGTTACTGAATCCCAGCTTATCAGAACTCTGGGGACATTTTAAAGCCCATGATAAGGGTTGTTTCTCCTCCTACCATTTTTCTTTCTTTTTTTTTAATTGATTGTTCAAAACATTACAGAGCTCATGATAAATCATCTTTCATACATTTGACTCAATTGGGTTTTGAACTCCCATTTCTACCCCAAATACAGATTGCAGAATCACATCTGTTACATACTCACATTTTTACATAATGGCATATTAGTGACT